GTGGCAGGGGGAGATAGGCTAGAAGCTTCTGGAACCAAGGACGAGTCTTGCCTCTTGATTCTTCTGTATCCTTCCCTCCAATTGTAGAAGGAATATCCCAAAGTTACCTCTTTGTCAGGGAAGAAAAAGGGGGCCCTATAAGAAGTGCTGCAGAGGAAGGAGGGAGCAGAGGTAACCCCCCTCCCTTGCTCCCTCCCTCCCAAGCCTCCGCCTTCATACCTCACTTAGACTGCAAAACAACCCAGCTCCTTGCCAAGAGTTAGGCTGACTGAATTTCAACTCTCCTTGCCTCTGCTTCCTCTTCCCTCTCACTGGCTGCAACTTCAGGGAGAGAATCTTGACCCCTGGCCCTTTCCCTATAGGGAAAAAGACCAACAAATAGAACAGGAGGTGGGTGGGATCACAAGCCTCAGGGAGGGTCCAGGACAACTGGGAGTGTGTTGGTGTTGGTACTCGGGCTGGTGGGGCACTAGAGGTCGTGCCCAGAGCCCTGATTTTGAATCCAGCCCTGGCAGATACTTGAGCCCTGGCCCTGCTTCTGATGGAAGAGTCAGGACAGGCTCAAAGAGCATGCAGTCCTAGACACAGCAGCTTACCTCCCAGCTTTCCCTCCAGAGCCCAGCAGGAGGGGAGGGGGGGAGGGGAGAAGGCTGAGTTCAGAACCAAGCTTTCCTGAAAAGCCTCTTTCCCAGTTTGTCCTAGCCCCTCCCAGTTTCTCCCACGCTGTGTTACAGCTTCCCAGCTCTGGGCCAGAAGGCCAGGGCAGGCCAGGGAAGCGCCCCCTGTCTTCTCTCTCCCACATTTTTGGGCGGGGGGAATAAAGTAAAAGCCCAGGCCATTCTAAGGAGCCCATTTTAGGGAGCACATCTCCCTAAAGGGTCTCCTAAAGGGAGTCAAAGGGTCAGTGATCAAGCCAGCTACTCAGTCACCTCTCAGTCAACCTCACAGCCCTCTCAGTTCCTCTCAGTTCACTCAACTCCTCACCACCCAGCTTCCTCCTTCCTTGGCACCCACACTCCTCCTTTTCTCTACCTCTTTGCTGACTGTCATGTTTCCAAGCATCCACCAGTGCTGCTCCAGGCGCTGTCTGTGAACAAGTGGGGAAGGGCTTCCTGTGAGGGAAAAGCCTCCCTCCAAGGACTGGGACTGAGGAGGAAATTAGCAGGAAGCAGCAGGTGGCTCAGCCTCACTTGGTTGCTTGGAGAAGAGGCCCCCATCTCTCCCCACAGTCCACGTCCTCAAGTGGGAGACATCTGTTTTCACCAGTGGGGCAATCGCTGCTTTGAAGGGGGCCATTTCTAACCCCTTGTTCAGTGTTTCACTGTGTGTCTGCTCATCTCCCTGATGTTTGGGAGGGCAGAGGGAACTAGGAATGAACGTCTGACCTTGGGCCACCCACTTCTTCTAAGGCTCATTTTCCTCTTACTGAGGAAAGGATACTGAGGAAGGGGTGGTGGTGGTGAAGATGATCTTCGTGTTCCCTCCTGAGTTCCCTTATGTGGGATCTGCATGCTGCACTCAAGCACCCAGAGTGGTGGAGGTGTCACTCTGCCCCCTGCCTCACCTCAGCCCCATTACTTTAGGATCTTAAAAAGCACTTTCACCATAAAGTTCCCTTCCCTGGTCCTTTTTATTTCCCAGACAAAAGGAAATGACTCACCCCCAAGTCACCTCGAATGAGTGAGGTGGTGTCATACAAGCAGACAGGGAGTCCCCAGAGACAACCTCACCCGCATGGCAACTCCTCCTCCCTTAGGGATGCTTTCCCTAAGGAGAATAAAAGGAAAAAGGGGTCACATTTCCTTTTGGTCCCTGGACTTGGCCCTGCAGCAGAAATTCATCTTAAGCTCTTGACTTTGGGGATATCTCCCTCCCCTACTGGTCATATCTCCTTGTGTCACTAGTAACCTCAAGGCGAGGTCAGTCCGGCAATCACGTGAAGCCCTCACGTTTGCAAGGTTTGCAGAAAGAGCCTGTTAGCTTTGATCTCCCGGCGAACAGCCAAGCTTGCCAGTCCCTCCCCAGGAATTCACATGCCTCTGCCATACAGGCTTTCCAAACACGCCACCCTGAGTCTTCAGGGCACACCCGACCCGATACGGCTCTTAGCTCCTCCCCGGGGCCCAGCAATCGCTTTTGCAAAGCAGAAAGGGGGAAATATACGCAGTCCGCCCACTTTGCCAGCGGACTACAAATCCCGATAGGCTTGGCGTTACGCAGGCGCACGGAGCTCAACGTGCCTGCTGCTGGAAAAGTGTGTCACTGGGGCACGAGGCGCTCCCTGGGATCACATGGTACCTGCTCCAGTGCCGCGTGCGGCCCGGGAACCCTGGGTTGCTGGCGCCTGCGCAGAGCCCTCTGTCCCGGGGAAAAAGGCTGGGGCAAAAGGCGGCTGAGATTGGCAGAGTGAAATATTGCTGCCGAGGGAACGTAGCAGGGCACACGTCTCGCTTCTTTGCGCCTGGGTGCCCCGTTTCTCCCCATCACCTACTTACTTCCTGACTGCAACCTCTCTCCCTCTGGGACTTTTGCACCGGGAGCTTCAGATTCACTACCCTGCAGCGCTGTGGAGCCGTCAGGCAGTGGCACCCCGTGCACTGCAGAGACCCGACCCTCCTTGCTACCTTCCAGCTAGAAGAACTACAGCAGGCTGATTTCCCCTCCCCCACACTCTGCTCTTCCCATGCAAAGCAGACCTCCGTTGCCTCTGCGTCCTACCCTTTTGCAGGGCTGCAGTCAGGCAACCCCGAGACCTTGCTGCAGGGTGCCTCGGATCTTGTTTGTGATCCGTGGGATCCACTCTCCGCCCTCAGTCAGTGTCCAGGGGGCGACAGCAGCAATTGCAACCTCCAGTCTGTGTCAAGGTCCAGTTTGAATGACCGCTCTCAGCCGGTGAAGACATGACGACCCTGGACTCCAACAATAACACAGGTACTGAGATTCTTTACTATCATCATCCTTTGGTACTGTCTCTTCGCTTCCATGTATGCCTTAGAACAAGAGGAACTTTTTAAGGGGCTGGGGACTCCCTCGGTCTGGGGATTTGCTAGCATAACGGGTACCATAGGCTGGGATTTCCAGAGCGAGTTATTCGTCCTGGGAATGTGCCCAGAGGCGCCCCACCACCACCTCTCAGAGTCCCAAAGCTCCTTTTAGCCTGATGGACTCGGATCCCGGGCAGGAGGAGATGGAGAGCGGGTATATGTGATAAGATGCACAGTTTAGAGGGACTGGGAGCTTTGGAGCAGTGCCCCAAACGCCCCTTTTCCCCCCTCCCCCCTGCCCTGCAGCTGTAGCATGGCTGACCCTCTCGGAAAGATGATCCTCTCCTTCCTCTCTTTCTCTTCCCCTATTTCCTGCAAGCTCAAGGGAACCTGAAAAGCAGTGGGGCGATAGGGGCTCCAGGCAGGAGCGGCTGGGGGAATGGGTCGGATCTCACTGGGGAATCCTCAGTGACAGTAGGGAGCGGCACTTGAGGAGCCAGCAGAGTGGTGCTCGGCCCCAGGGAGGACACCCACAGCGCCCGGGAGGCCCGGAGGGCTCACATGGCTGCGGAGCCGGGCCCACGTGCTGCGTTTGTTTTCATTCAGCAGAAGCCGTGGCCGCCACCCCATTGGTCGTTGTCTCCCGGCCCCGTTACATAATGAGCTCCGCCCCCCCCCGGTCGCCCCGGCAACGCGTGTTCCCATCTCTCCTCCCCTCAGTTGCCCCAGCCCGGCTGGCGTTTGGGGCCCAGCCCGGGACTTGGAAGCCCAGGAGGGGCGGGACGGGGGCGGGGCTGATGCTCCTGATTGACGGGACGGGGAGGGGCGGGGCCTCGGGTTCCGGGGTTCCTCGTTGGGGAGCCACGTGCAGGAGGCACACGTGGAGTGAGGACGTGAGGCCGGCTGAGGGCCCGGCTCCCGCCCCGCCCCGCCGAGATCTGGGTGAAGCTGGGCTGACTCACCGCCCCCGCCTGCCTCTTTTTCCTGTCCGCCTGCCTGGGACGAGAGGGGGGTGGGGAACCTTCTCCCCATCCCTGAAGCAGAGTAAGCTGGAGCTATCCCTGACCTCTCATGGCCTCGTGTTTACACTCCTCAATGGTACCTCACATTTAGCCACTCTTGTCTCCTCATTCCTTTTCTTTTTATTTTGTTTGCACCTACTTCATTTTACTGCCTTTAGACTCAGTTTCGCCACATTCCAAATTCTTTCTGTTCCTGGAGCATCTCTTACTCCTGCAAACACTGTCTTAACTCCCCACCCCCACCAAACCAGCAGCAGTCTGTCAGAAAGGACTTCCCCAGAACAGCTACATCCCAGAATCATTACTGAAAGTCTTTTTTTTTTTTTTTTTTTGGTCACAGAAAACTGAGACCCAGAGAGAGAGGGAAGGTAACTTCCTCTAGGTCACAGATCAATTTGGTTCTGATAGATCTGGATCTAAAACTAGACTCTTTTGAGCATCCCCCTCACTTCCAGGTTAGAATCATCTTTGGATGAAAGTCTTACTCCCTTTTAGGGGATGGGTGAACTAGGTCAAGTTCATTTACCACCAAATGATATCCCATCCCATCCTCCCCCCACCCCCCACCCAGCTCTGAAACTGTAGGAGCTGACCTGTTGTGCAACTATTTTATTGGGAGCTGGGTTCACCCTGACCAACCTTGAGCTATTTTAGGGTTGCCCTGCCCAGCTCAGTGTGTGTCAGTGGGTGAGCAAGACATGTGCCTCTGGATACATGGTGACATGGCTTGTGTTGGCTCACACGTGTCCTAGGATCCTCCCTTTTCCCACCCCACCCGTGGCAGGCCAAGCTAGGTGCTTGGCAAAGGTGTGGCAGGCAGGTCACCTTTTCTCCTGCTAATGCCACGGGAGCACAAACACCTGGTTGACAATGTAACCAGAGGGTCGAAGTCCCTTGAATGGCTGAGAGCCAAGGTCGTTGTCACCTGGCTGAGAGATCTAAAAGGGGAATTCCTAAACCCTAGGCTGGACAATTTGTTTTTCATGTCCACCGCCTGCAATGGGCATTGCTAAGTCTTCCCTGGACACGGAGGGAGAGTCCACTCTGACTCTTGCTTTTGGAGGCCAGGGGAACCAGCCGGGGTAGTTTCAGTACCTTTGGAGAAACGTCTTCCAGTTTTGGGGGAATGTCACTGTCTTACTCTTGTAAGACCTTACTCTCCTCACTGTTGGCTAGCTTGCCCCAAATAGTCTCATCCCTGGAGTGGTCTTGGTGTTAAAATTGGCAGCTTTTTTTTTGGAGGGTGAAACTGGGCATTCTGAATGGGTCTCAGCTGCTCATCCCATCCTCACATCTGCCACTAACGATGAAGTCATTAGCTAGCTTCAGTCCGTATTCCCAAGGAAGGCTTCTGGGGTAGCGGGGTACATATATGAGATGCCTGCAGAGGTCATGCCTTTAGGGAGGCACCTCACACCCAAGGCAGAAGTTGAATGTACCCTGCAAAGAGCCTTGGGGTGTCGGTTGGCCATGTCATATCTGGTTTGCATTGGGGAGTTGCTTATTGTGGTTCTTCCTGGGACTCCAAGATTAAGGGTTCCACAGTTAACTTCCAAGCATGCAACAGTGGGAGGTAGATGGGGGATGAGCAGGAGTGGTGCCCTAGGACCAAAGATACATGGTGCTGACACCCCCTTCCCTTGTGTTCTCCTGCCAGGTGGTGTCATCACCTACATTGGCTCCAGCGGCTCTTCCCCAAGCCGTACCAGCCCTGAGTCTCTCTACAGTGACAGCTCAAATGGCAGCTTCCAGTCCCTGAGTCAAGGCTGCCCTGCCTACTTCCCACCATCACCCACTGGATCCCTCACTCAGGACCCAGCTCGCTCCTTTGGGAGCATTCCACCCAACTTGAGTGATGATGGCTCCCCTTCTTCATCTTCCTCCTCCTCCTCCTCCTCCTTCTATAATGGGAGCCCCTCAGGGGGTCTACAAGTGGCCCTGGAAGATAGCAGCCGAGTGTCCCCCAGCAAGAGCACCAGCAACATCACCAGTGCGTAAATTTCCAGCTGATTTGGGGGAAGTTGGCCAGGACTAGGTTGGGACTTGGTGTTTAGATGACACGGTTATTCCCAGGGCCTACCCTGGCCTCAGGGATTTCTCCTAGAGTTGCACCAACCGCTGTCCAGCCCAGTCTGGATACTGGAGGAGCTCCTCAGCTTTTCCCCTAGAATTTCCAGCCCAGAAAACCTCCACATCTCTGGTCAGACAGCCCTCCTGCTCACCTGCTGCCCCTCTCTTCCCACAGAGCTGAATGGCATGGTGTTACTGTGTAAAGTGTGTGGGGACGTTGCCTCGGGCTTCCACTATGGCGTGCATGCCTGTGAGGGCTGCAAGGTGAGGCAGGTTGGGGTAAGGGCAGAGAGGTATGACCTCATTCCCCCGGACACATAGGCCTGGCCTGGATGGAGATGCTTACTAGCTGCCCCCGTCCTTCCAGGGCTTTTTCCGTCGGAGTATCCAGCAGAACATCCAGTACAAAAGGTGTCTGAAAAATGAAAACTGCTCCATCGTCCGCATCAATCGCAACCGCTGCCAGCAGTGTCGCTTCAAGAAGTGTCTCTCCGTGGGCATGTCTCGAGATGGTAAGGCGGCACTGTTGCCCCACAAAGCATCCCCACAACTTCCCCCCCACTTCCTTCCACCCAAAGTTTGAGTTAATCCCTCCCTTAAAAAAGTCCCAACAGAGACACGTCAGACTGTGAGTCTCCTCTGTGTAGGGGATGCCCATCTTTCATCTTTTTGGATAAACACACTTCTTTACTATTCGCTCCTCTGGTCCCCTCATAGGGCAATCCCTACTTGGAAAACTCCCTCAAGGGGCGTGGCCTTGGTTTTAGTTTTGATGTCGAACCCCAAGCGTTCAGGGCCTTGCCCTTTCAAGAGGAAGGAAGGAAGAGAAGCGTGTGAGTGTGTAGGAGAACTTCCTGACGCTGCTCTCATCCTGTCACAGCTGTGCGTTTTGGGCGCATCCCCAAACGAGAGAAGCAGCGGATGCTTGCCGAGATGCAGAGCGCCATGAACCTGGCCAACAACCAGTTGAGCAGCCAGTGCCCGTTGGAGACCTCACCCACCCAGCATCCGACTCCAGGCCCCATGGGCCCCTCACCACCTCCCGCTCCGGCCCCCTCACCCCTGGTGGGCTTCTCCCAATTCCCACAACAGCTGACACCTCCCCGATCCCCAAGTCCTGAGCCCACAGTGGAGGATGTGATATCCCAGGTGGCCCGGGCCCACCGAGAAATCTTCACCTATGCCCATGACAAGCTGGGCACCTCACCTGGCAACTTCAATGCCAACCATGCATCGGGCAGCCCTCCAGCCACCACTCCTCATTGCTGGGAAAGTCAGGGCTGCCCGCCTGTCCCCAATGACAACGTTATGGCTGCCCAGCGTCATAATGAGGCCCTGAATGGTTTACGCCAGGCTTCCTCCTCTTACCTTCCCGCCTGGCCCCCTGGCCCTGCCCACCACAGCTGCCAGCAGCCCAACAGCAACGGGCACCGTCTATGCCCCACCCATGTGTACCCAGCCCCAGAAGGCGAAGCACCTGCCAACAGTCCACGGCAGGGCAACTCCAAGAATGTTCTGCTGGTGAGGGCACTGGGGGTGAGGTGGGCAGGGGGCCTGGGAGACTGGATTTAGCATAGGGCAGCTGGGTGTGCCTGGAGGCTAATGCAGGGATATCCTCTTCCCAGGGGGGAGGATGCTCAGCCCTGCAGTAAGGGCTGTGCCTGCAAATCCCTGATCTCCACCTGGCACCTGATTGCTCCTTTACCTAAAAGACTGATCCTCTAGGGCCACAGCCTCTAACCTGGGCAGAAGCTGGGGTCCAGCCCTGCTGGGGGAACCCACCTGAGCCAGTCTGGTTGATATTCTCCTCCCCAAATCCCTTCCTCCTCCAGGCATGTCCCATGAACATGTACCCCCACGGACGCAGTGGGAGAACCGTGCAAGAGATCTGGGAGGATTTCTCCATGAGCTTCACACCTGCTGTGCGGGAGGTGGTAGAGTTTGCCAAGCACATCCCCGGCTTTCGTGATCTTTCTCAGCACGACCAGGTCACCTTGCTTAAGGCGGGAACCTTTGAGGTGAGTGACCCTTTGTGCTCCCTGGTCTTGACCTTGGGAAGGATCCCGCAGAAAGACTTGGTATCTAGGATAGGGAGGGACTCTGAAAGGCTTTGGAACCCCAGTATCTTTGTCCTGGCAGCCTCTGACTGCTGAAGGAAGGGGCAGAATCCCTTCCCTTCCTGCGTCAGGTTGGCTGGGACTTCTGTAATCTCAGCTGGGGTGTCAACACATCCCATTACCTGGAAATAACACCTTAGGGCACATTGCTACCCCCATTCTAGACTCAAATTAATTTTGGTGAACTTTTGCGACCTTGTCCCAGGTCATGGGTAGTGACAAAGTTAAGACTCAGATTCAGCCCTGCTGGATTCTAAAGCCAGGGTGATGTTCCCCATCCTTCCATCTCTCCCCCACCCCCACCCCACTGCCCATTCAGAACCCACCCACACTCTTTCCCGAGAAACCTAAGGCGGTGCCAGTAAACCCTTTGGAAAACTTTAGGGGCAGTTTGGCAAATGCTCCTCCCACCCCACCAGGGTGACTGTCCCTGTCCCCTCTCCCTTAGGTGCTGATGGTGCGCTTTGCATCGCTGTTCAACGTGAAGGACCAGACAGTGATGTTCCTGAGCCGCACCACTTACAGCCTGCAGGAACTTGGAGCCATGGGCATGGGGGACCTGCTCAATGCCATGTTTGACTTTAGTGAGAAGCTCAACTCCCTGGCGCTTACCGAGGAGGAGCTGGGCCTCTTCACCGCGGTGGTGCTTGTCTCTGCAGGTAGGTCAAGCTCTCTCCTGAGCCTGACCCTGGAGGGGGGGTGGGGGGGAGGAGGCGGACGCAGTTCGATTCAACACACCTTTTATGGAGTACCTACTCTATGCCAGGCCCTGCACCGGGCACTGGGGATACAGACATGATTCAGACACAGTCTAGCTGGGGAGACAGACTCATGCCCGACTAATTATAAAACAGTGAGATAAGTGTCACAGTAGAAGCATGAACCAAGGGCTTTGGAAGCACAGACAACTATTTCTGCCTGGGGGAGCTGGGGAAGGAGGTGACACTTGAGTGGGGCCTCAAAGGACAAGTAAGGTATTGCCAGGCAGAGAGGGGGAAGGGCATCCCAGGCAGAGGGAACTACAGAGCAAAAAGCAAGGGAGCCTGGACACGTTTGGCCTGTTCAGGGAAGGAGAGTGGCCTTGTGGGATGGGAGGTGACCAGCCCTGCTGAGCCCATGCTCCCAGCTCTCAGCTGCCTCCTGCTCTCAGGGCAGAGGCCTGGGAGAAGGAGTTGCGCTCCTCTCCTCCTCCTTCCCCCGTGGGCCCTCCGAGGGGCTTCAGGGAGAGGCTGCACCGGTGGCCGGGTCCTCCTCCTTCTTCTCCTCCTCCTCCTCCTCCTCCTCCTCGCAGACCTCCTCCGGTTCCTCCTCAGAGGAGCTCGGGGAGCCTGCCTCACTGCTGTCGTCTTCCCCACAGACCGCTCGGGCATGGAGAATTCCGCTTCGGTGGAGCAGCTCCAGGAGACGCTGCTGCGGGCTCTTCGGGCTCTGGTGCTGAAGAACCGGCCCTCGGAGACTTCCCGCTTCACCAAGCTGCTGCTCAAGCTGCCGGACCTGCGGACCCTGAACAACATGCATTCCGAGAAGCTGCTGTCCTTCCGGGTGGACGCCCAGTGACCCGCCCGGCCGGCCTTCTGCCGCTGCCCCCTTGTACAGAATCGAACTCTGCACTTCTCTCTCCTTTACGAGACGAAAAGGAAAAGCAAACCAGAATCTTATTTATATTGTTATAAAATATTCCAAGATGAGCCTCTGGCCCCCCGAGCCTTCTTGTAAATAACTGCCTCCCTCCCCCATCACTGACCCTCCCGTCCTCCCCTATTTAAATCACTCTCCGCCCCCCCCGCCCCCCGCTTA